TATAAATATATTTATTTTATATCTTTTATGTACAGGATAAATTTCAATATAATTAAAAGATTTATTTAATTAATAATTTTTACGTTTTAATTGTGATATAATCAAAGAGACACGATAATGTCTCGCGCCTAGTGCGGAAAGGGACACGCGAAGACGCGAGTATAAGACGCGCGAGCCGAGTACGATAGGATTTTACGATTCTCGTGGCTGGCGACGCTAGCTCGAGCAAGAAAGAGACTGCAGATGTATGTCTGCGCTCTTCGGCCGCTCGAAGCTGGCCGAACGCCGACCGCACAGCCGCCGCACACGTACACGGCTGCTCGGCTCGCTTGCGTGCGCTAGAGCCCTATTATAGAGCCGCAACGGGCACGGACCAGTTCGGTCGTGTTTTGTCCGGAAAATTTTTTTAAGTATTGCGACTGTTACTGTCTGCATTGTACGGCTCATACGACAATTGGTTCGTCCTGGCCATATTAAGAGCAGTACTGCTCAAAGGCTATATCATAAAGAAAAAGAAGAAGAAGAAGCTTGTGTGCGCTGTGCTGCTGCTTGCTGTAAGCGGCTTGAATCTAGCATCTCTGGTGCGGCCCCATGGACTGATATTTTCCGCGTAACGCTTATCGCATAACTAATCAGAGACATTCCGCGTTTTCTGTTACGCTTGTTTAAAAAGTTGCGTATTACGCGAGTTTGCGGCTTGCGCGACTTTTGTGTGGTACTCAGCGGTAGAGGCGACATGGCGGCACTTGTAAGTTATTTTTTAGATATTATTATTCTTTAGTTTAGAGTTTACTACAAAAATATGTAAACAGCTGTTTTATTTTCTCTCTTATATTTTTCTTTATTTATTTTTATTACTACGTTTACGCGAGCGTTACTTCTGTAATAACTTACGATAATTCACTCGTTTACGCGGAGTAAATTATCGTAAGTTACTACAAAATCCCGTTTACGCGAAGGAATTAACGTAAGTTACTACAGAAGTAACGCTCGCGTAAACGTAGTATATGGTCGGTATTCATAGTTGGTTCTTATTTTAAGATCGTCTTAAACGTATAATGTCTTAAGATGCTAATACGTACGGCTCTGTGATTGGTTAATGGCATCTTAAGATTGTACTTAAGACGGATTTAAATATAAGATTCATCGACTATATGAATACCGGTATTTATTTGTTCTATAATATATATGTTGTTCTATAATATATATGTTGTTTCTTATTTTGTTTGATGTGTGTTATAGGTTATATTATTTGGTTCTTAATTTGTTAACATAATTATCTCCGTTTATGGCAAATTAAATGTTGATATTGTGGTTGTCTCATATGGCACATCAATGCCAAAATATATTACAACATAATTGTTTTAAAGAATACGATGAAAATAAGTACGCGCTTTGAGCATTGACAAAAATAATGTAGCTACTATTGGTATACACTTCTTTTACATGTATCAATTTGTACATATTGCAGAATTAACCCTTCGTGTGTAACGTCGGGTCACCCGTGCCCTGGCGAAAGTGACTACTGTCCTGTATGTCAAGTGTCTGTTTATATAAATATATTGTTTAAACAAATGAAAAAATTGGTAATATAGCGATTGATCCTTAAAGTAGGATAGTTAATAAGGTAACATGAATTTTTTCAGATTTTTTTAGAACACTTTAAAGTATTTTTTAGGCGTCGGAAATGAGTGACCCGACGTTGCACGTTACGGTGCCGAAAAAGACGTTGCACGCGAAGGGTTAAAATCAAACTTTTTTTACAGTGAACAGATTAGACGAAGATGGACTATTGTCACCCGAAAGTTCTAACATAGATTTGGATGAACGTCTTATTATTATAATGGCTGTAACAGATAGGCCACCGTTATACGATCGCCGTTTAAATGTTAAAGAAAGATCTAATTTTTCATCATTATAAAAATACAATTCTTTTGTAAGAGTTTTACTTGCTCCATACCGTTCTCGCTTTTCATTTGTAAAAATTGGATGAACCCAATACTTCCGTTTTACTATTTTGTTTCGCTCGTTTTCTTTGTACAATAAGAAAAGATTAACTAATTTTTTTAATTTCATGATTAACATTCTATAATCTTTTTTATTTATTATTTGCTTTTGTAGAGCAATAATAGCTATTAGTAATTCATTTTAGGTTACGCTTTATTCACTGTCAGTCAGGTTATGGAACATTCAAATATATTTGTATGCATTTACGTGATATTCTGATTTCATCGTTTACATCTTCACACGGACACAAAATTTGCGTAATAAATACTCGCGTAACTAATCAACTGCGACATTTAGTAATGTTTTAACAGAATAGAAAAATATCATTGGTTAAACGCGATACGCTGCTGCCGTTTTATGTACATACCATGTGCATTAAGGACATTCAATTCCGTGTTACAGAAAACGCGGAACGTCTCTGATTGGTTACGCGATACGCGTTACGCGGAAAATATCAGTCCATGTGATCGCACCCTAAGGCTGAATTTCCACTGAGCGCGTCACGCGTCGCGTCATCCGAATTAACCAATCAAAATATCCCATTTTATAACATTATTTGCAATGTAATAAAATTGAACGTTTTGATTGGATAACGCGACGGGTGACGCGCTTAGTGGAAACTCAGCCTAAGTCCTGGTCTACAATAGGTGTTTTAAGGAGATCCTAAAGCCGTCTGTATTACCGACCGAATCTATCTATATCTGTCCTTGTATAGACAATGATAATAGACAAAGATAGACAAGGTTATAGGTTATATTGCATTCATTACAATTAATCTTTTTTTGTAGGCCTTTATTCTTAGTTCCAATTGCACGATATTGTTCTTACATGTTATCCCTAGGTCATGCCGATCTAATTTTGTGGATATTTATTGTGAAACTTTTGTACAAAGCAAATATTGCCGTTATGTATACCAAAAATTAACAAAAAATATTAATTTTTTTTTGTTTTTGATATAAATTTGACCACCATGACCTAAATTTTGATGCGTACTTTAACTTTGGAGAAGGATTTTTAAATCCATAAAGCCAATAAAAAGATATGCGTTAAGAAAAAAACGGGTATTACAGACGGCTTTAGGATCCCCTTAAGCCCTAAGTTGACATTCATTGTTTTTTTTTCTTGCCAGCCGATACGAAATGCACCACCTGTAATTAAGTACCAGCCTATTAGGTCGGACATGTGCTGGGTGGAATGTGCCCATTGCCATTACAAATTTTGGGTGAGTCATCAGAGATTATAGTTATTTTGGTCGCGTTCGCAGCAGACACAATTGATGAGTTCGTCTTATCAACACTTTGCATTGATTGGTTCTAAAAGTAAGAGCCAATCACGTTCGACTGTTACTTAGCGGCTTGGTCTGCCCTTTGTTTTAATGGGCGCGTTCAACAGAACAAACCGCTCAGTAGCAATCGAACGTGATTGGCTCTTACTTTTAGACCCAACAAATCAACGTAGTGTGTTGATAAGACGACACTCAACAGTTGTGTTTGCTGAACGCGGCCATTGATCTTCAGCTCTTTTGTCAAAATGTTGCCTTCCACAGTACTCGAAAACGTGTAACGATGTGGTTCAATGTCCACATTGCCGTAAGATATCTTTTGCTGGTTCCTCTGCTAGAAAAAGAGGGATTTTATTAATTATTATTGGGATTATAGCCTTCGTAGTCGGTATAACTGCAACGGTAAGTGTACAAACTCAATTTCTTGTTTGTATTGTTGGTGATCTCTATAATATTAATTTTATACCGTACATAATTACAGGTCAGGTATTATATACTTGCAGAAACAAACGGCGGAGATGACGAATATTATGGCGGAGGTAATTTAATTCCTCCCAGTGGGTATAAGCGATATATCAGATTTCGAAAATTGTCGATAATTTGTCAATAACTGCTACTATTCAGTCTTAAAAAATGTGTCGATCACATTTTTGGATTATTTCCAGGTGGATTTCTATTGGGGCTCTCCGGGCTCCTAAGCTTGTGTCGCGGCATTTATTACCGTACGATGAAGATCAGTTTGATAGAGAATCCCTGATGTAGTCTCACAAACAGCAGTGAGCAACATTTCAAGCCCTTTTGAGGCAAGAACGAGTATATACACATGGCCATATGTCCGTATGCAGATCTGTATTGTTTATTATAATGCATGTATACATTCTTATATAATATACACATATCAAGAGACACGGTAATGTCTCGCGCCAAGTATGAATGTGTTTCGTCGATTACAGATTATTCAAATCAATTCGTACTTTTCGAATTGTAGTTACGCTAAATCGTGGGATAAACGAGACAGCTTCGCGAAATGATATCTGGGACTTGGGACGAGCATAGCTCTTGAAAGGACCCCGCACAAAATCGTAGGATTATGGACCTCACTGAAAATTTCTGAAACTTTGATATGTTGCAGGTTATGACCTCCTGATCAAAAGTCCTCATGGGTGCAAGACTGAAAAATGGATAGATTTTGAGATATAGAGGTTAGAAGGTCATCAACTGCCTCTACGAGCGCCACTCGGCGCGCGTATTTTTATGACTGTATTCGTGTGTGTTTATACATGTGTGTGTGTGTGTTTGTTAATATGTGGGGCATACTTTGCGTTTGCGTTACCGTCGGCATCAGCGTGATCCGATGTGCACCGCGGGGAGGTTGCCGAATCGGGTTTAGCACATCATTTGGCCCTGAAAAGGGCCGATTAGATTCCAGATTTTTTGTTGTTTTACGTACCTTACATTTACGTAAAGTCGTAAAAAAGATTACCTTATGGCTTGGCTTATATATTATATTAGTTGCCCCACACAGCACACGATGTCCATTGGACGTCCAGGACGTGCTGTGTGGGGCAACTAA